ATAATTTATATTTATATGCTTTATTAACGCCTACACCCGTTGTAAAAATAAACTTCGATATAATGTTTCATACATAATCGAGAAAAATGATTCTCTCTCTCTCTCTTTCTCTCTTGGAAATTCACATAATTATCAGTATTAACAGTACACCTAGCGCCAGAGTATCACGCTCGTTATTCAATGCAAGCAAATTCTCGCGATAATGCGCGATATCCATGCAATATCGATCCGATATCACGTCGTATAGCATCGCTTCCGGTTTTCCCGTGAGCGTCGAAAAAATTGCGGGAATGAAAACGGGAGAATCACGGAGAGAGCCATAGAAGAACAGAACTCGTTCAGCTCATTCATTTGAAAATGTATCTTCCTACGCAAGAAGTATGTCTCTCTTTTTATATCTTAATCGAGGGTAGGAGATAATGGCTCGATTAAGAAGTGGTGAATATTTTTGTACCCTCAGGTAATATCACCTCCTCGCCTACGTCGGCGAGGGTGACAGTAAGCGGCAAAATGAGCGGCATGAGTATCTCCTGTTGCATCACTTGCTGCGTCGTAGCCACCGTGGTCGGTTCCGCCTGCCTCGCTATAGCGATCGTCTTGATGTTCTGTGCTTTGACGATCTGCGCCTGGCCGAGCGTGGTCTGATGCATCCTGACCTGTGACTGCTGCTGTACTTGTATCTGCACTTGAGATTGTTGTTGCTGTTGCTGCGGCTGTGGCTGCACCTGCTGCTGCATCATCTGCTGCGCGCGGTTCTGATTCTGCAAGAGATTCTGTTTACAACGCTTACTGTGCGCGTAGCGGCTGCCGTTGTTGTTGAACTTGCGGTCGCAAGTCGGACACTCGTAAGGTCGCTGACCCGTGTGAATAAACATGTGCTCCTTCAGTGACTTCAATCGCCGGAAGTTTTTCGGACAGCATTTGCAGTGATACTTGGCCTCGCCGGTGTGAGACGTTAGATGATTCGCCAAGGTGTCGGCTCGCGCGAACGCTCGCGAGCAATATTGACAGATATATGGCCGTTCTTGCGTATGCGTGCGCATATGCATCTTCAGGTAGGCGTTGGTGGTGAACGGCCTGGAGCAGACCTGGCATACGTACGGTTTGATACCGTTGTGCGCGCGCAGATGAGCTATCAGCGTCGTCGATTGTGTGAAACTCTTGCTGCAGATCTCACAGAGAAATCTCTTCGAACTATCGGTTTCCTTATTCTTCTTGAAAGTACGATCGTGCTTGGACAGATGATTATTGAGCTGCTCCTCCTTGATGAAGCGCTTGGTGCAGCGGGTGCATTTGTACGGTTTTATCATATTGTGCTTGGCCACGTGGATCTTAAGATGTTCCCGTCGATAGAACTTCTTCGGGCATATGTCGCACAAGTATTTCTTGCCCTCGTGTACCTGAATGTGCCGCAAAAGACCTTTCCTGGAGGTGTATTGTTTGTTGCACTCGGTACACTCGAGGCCTACGATATCGGTTCTCCTCTTCCGGCCGATCTTCTCGCCCGGTTTCTTCTCCTCGGGTTTCGGCTCGATATCTCTCAAATCTTCTTCCGTTAAGATACCTTCAGTGACGTGCTTGGCCCGGTGTTCCCGCAGGATCTCATTGTTCTCGAAACTGTCGCCACATATATTGCACTTCCTCACCTGATCGGGATTTTTCTCAGAGCACTTGTCATAGTGCGCCTTTAGCTTGTCCTTACGATAGAACTTGACGTTGCAAATGTCGCACTCAAAGTTCGGTTCCTCGTGCAGCAGCTGGTGTCGCAGCAGCGACTTCTTCGTGCTGTAGCGTTTCTTGCACGTGCCGCATTCGTGACTGTCCATCGGCCAATCGAGACCGCTCTCGAAATCCGAGTCGTCGTCGTCATCGTCGTTATCCCCTGTCGTATTATTCGTTTTTTGCGTCTCCTTCTTATCTGAAGCGGCCTTTTTCAACTTCTCCGCCGCTTTTTCGTCTTTCACATGCTGTTCCATGTGCTTCGTCAACGCTTGCTTCGAACTGTACCTCTTATTACACGTCGCGCATTCTAATTCCTTCTTATAATTCTTTGGTGTAGCGTCGCGCTTACGGCGATAATAATGCCCGTCCAATTTGGCGTCGTAATCGACATTGTCGTTATCGTCGTCGTAATCCTCCAAACCGTCCTCCGTTTTGATCTTATCAATGATCTTTTGCGCTGCTTTCGCAGCCACGCGCTTTATACGCTTGTTCGGATCGTATTCTTGTCCATGTATAAACGTCTTGTGATTCGTGGCGACCAGATGATTTCTCAGAGTGAGCTCGTTACCGAAAGTTTTGTTGCATTGAGTACACTTGTAGGTCTTTATTCGCGCGTGCTGCTCGGCATGTCTGCGCAGAAGATCCTTCCGCGTGAACTGTTGACGACATATCTTGCAATCGTAGCTGCTAACTCCAGAATGCGCCGTCTCCATGTGTCTGGACAGCAACTTTTTGCGCGAGAACGTCATTGGACACTTTTGACACTTGAGTTCCTTCGCATGTTCGGCGGATTCGCCATCATTATATTCCTCCTCCTCCTCGTCGTTTTTGTTGTCTTCGTCATCATAGTTCTCGACGCTCTTGGCCATCATCTGCT